CGCCACAGATCTCGCTCTTTGGTGTTCCTAATCAATTCTACTGATGCTATTGCTCCATGCCACTTTCTTCAGCCATCCAGCATCATTTATCTTGGTCTGCCTCTGCCTCTTCTACCAGTGAACTTTCAGTCGTCACGATATTTTTTAGTACTCCTTTTCTCATTAAATGACTAAAGGACTTTGTCTCCTTCTCATTGTTGTACATAATGTTCTACTTTCATTAGCCATTTGCAGGCATTCAGTGTTGGTTATTCTGGCAGTCCAAGGTATTCTCAATGTTTTTCTCAAGTTGCCTTCAAACGTTTCCTAATTTGTTTGTTCACATTCCGAGATTCACTGCCATACAACAAAACAGGTTCGATATAAAATTTTAATACTAGTTTTCTGAGTTTTTTTAATGAAAATGATTAATTACATAACATCCTTTTCATCTTCTGAAAAGCTGCCTTTACCGGGCCAATTCTGCTCTTTATTTCTGTCACACATCGTCTTTCTGATGTTTTGAATGTTCCCAATTACTTGAATTTATAGACTTGGTTAAGCACTTTCCCTTCTATTGCTATGTCACATTTTGGAGTTAGCTTCTTTTCTTATGTAACGATTGTTTCTGTTTTCTTTATATTCAAGGAGAGTCCCTTGTTTGCACTCTCTAGGACCACAATGTCTAATAGTTGTTGCAAGTCTTCTGCGTGTTCAGCTAGTGTCCTTGACCTCCCTTATTATGATTTTACTATTGAGAGAGGGAAGAGATCCAGTGACAAAATTCGTCCTTGTCTAACTCCTTGGGTTATCTGTTCACTTTGAAATCAAAACAAAAGTCAGCCTTGACAAGATGTCAGACCAACTGGTTGGCCAGGTTTTCGTGTAACCTACAATCAACTTCCTCGCAGACTCCCAAGACGCGAAGACATCATGTTTCCACTTTATCACTTCGATATCAAAACAAAAGTCAGCCTTGACAAGATGTCAGACTAACTGGTTGGCCAGGTTTTCGTGGAACCTACAATCAACTTCCTTGCAGTTAGATTTAATCCGTTCTCACTCGGCACTATTGCATCATCGAAAACAAGACGTACCCTTCTAGATCATTCTAAGCTTAAATAATCTTTCTCCCCCTCGAGTTCTCGAACATACGTATAATTCGTACATCACACTTCGTACTCGGTTCCATTCACCCGAACTCAAGCGTATAATTTATGTTATGTATCTAACCTCATTTCAAATGCGAACATTAATTAACAAAGATAGATTGACTCATGACATTTGCAGATCGACGTACAGATCATCATGGCCCAGATAGAATGGTGCAGCTAATGGTGGGCCATGTGATCTGGCAGACACTATCCATAAAATCAAATTGCTTCTAGCAACATAAGAATTAAAACTTTTCGCCGATTGCTGAAGATGAGGATGAAGCGCTTATGGGAGTGTCCCGAGTACGGTTATGCCAGTTCTTAGCTAAACATTCAACATCATGAAGAAAGCTTTGTTGCTTTTCTAAATACGTGGTTCAGAAAAGTTATGGTAACCAGTTTAGTTTCCAGAACAGAGTCCACATAGGCGATACACTCTGCTCGCTGCCAGATTGCTGGGAAAGTTAATTTCCTCTTTAATGTTAATTACCTGCCTTACCTTAATTACTTATCTTACCGTAATTAGGTTTCTTAGGTTAATTAGCAGACGCGACGCTTTCATCGAAGCCTCTATGGGCTCATGCAAGATTGATGTGACTGTCGGCGTCAAACAGGGGCGCCGCTACAAAGTGTTCATGAGGGCGGAGGGCGTTTCCCTTTCAGTCCCCACACATATTTTCAGGGCAGGCGGGGTGTTGGCGGGGTGATCATGCGATCTAAGCCAGGTTTAATTAACAATAATAATGAGCTGAATAGTAAACAATATATATATATCAGATTTTTCAAATATAATGCAATATTTAAAATATAATAATAATGAATTTAATAGCCAAAAAATCATATAATAATAAAGTATGTATTATATATATATATATATATATATATATATATATATATATATATATATATATATATATATATATATATATATATATATATATATATATATTACATACATAAAATATAGCCTTATATTTTAAAAATCTGATACTTATAAATAGAAAGTAAGTTGCATATCCCTTACAAACTTTGCAGAACCAATCCCAGCATATTTTTGTGGTTGTGGATTTTCTAGTCAAGTTTACGTCCATTAGTTTGATTCCTTTTGGACGGTCGGCTTCTCGATACCAATGTCGAAACCAACGCAAGGCGCAAGGACCGTAGCTTGGATCGAACTCGGTACCCCGGCATTACGAAGCGCTTTCGCAACGTCTAAGCCACAGACGCCGACTATGTATAAACAACAAACTTAAAAAGAGAACCTATTTGATTGTTGCAGTCTGGAGAAGGATTAGACCTCTTAAACATTATTTAAAAGGTCGATGGGATGCTCAAAGTACTATAGGGAGCCACCGTGATGCAAGGGCTAGACGCTCACTTGCGAATTCGACTTAATTTTTTTTAATGGTCTTAGCTCCGAAGTCGACATAGCGTTAAATTGGTACCAGCCATGGGAGGTAAAGGGGCTGGCGTAATATTAACAATATCAACCACTGAGTGCCCTTTGGTCTATGTAAAGTATAGGTTCAGGAGTGTATTCCCAATACTCCCGAAGGCGTGCACAAAGGTCCTATACAAGGTACACCAGTGCCCATTCTTCCAGGCTCCGGCACCCTTGGTGTTCATACGATGGTAGTCTTCAGATGAATACGTGAACGACAGACAATTAGTGTTGGCAGACAAGATTTCTCAGTCTAACGAGAGAGAGAGAGAGAGCTCAGGAGAACGTGATACTGACCCTTTCATTCTCAGGTAAAGCTTTTGGTAAGAAAGGTTAGACATTAATTTCTGCTTATAATTATCAACCTGTTTTCTTTTGCGGCGTCTATGGCTGGGGAATCGCGAACGCAGTTTCATAATTCAAACATTCAAGATTTCCTATTTTGTGCCCTTTCTATCGCTACTCTGTGGCTAAGTCGATGCGAACGCTTCGAAATTCCGGGATGCCGGGTTCGATCCCAGCTGCGGGCAATGCGCCTTGTGTTGGTTTCGACAATGGTATCAAGAAAGCCGACCGTCCAGGAAGCAATGGCAAACTACTGGACGTAAATTGCCTAGAAAAACCACACAACAGCCAGTGGCTGTTGGGGTTGGTTTTGCAACGTCCTGTAAAAGATACGCATCTAACACTATCGTTACAGCTGATTTAGTATCAGACGAATTTGCAGTGTTTCGACTATGGTATGCATGTCCACCATTGAAAAGGCAATCGTAGATTAATGAACGTAAAATGTGAGTAAAAGGCAAAAATTTACCTTGGTTTTCAGGTCGACCTTGTCTTAAATAAGTACCAGAACATATCCTGGGAAGGAAAGGCTACCGGGACAGACAATCTCGTCTAAGATAAAAAACGTTTAAAGAGTCCATTTATTGTTAATATGTCGCTCCTTTGGGCAGTGAACTTGACGGACGTTGTGATGACTGTCTCCAATTAGGTAGAGAATAGCGAAGAGTACCCACAATTCCTAAACATTAGAAGGGGGGGGGGGGCGTGGGAGAGAGAGAGATAGAGAGAGAGAGAGAGAGAGAGAGAGAGAGAGAGAGAGAGAGGGGGGGGGGGGCATAGGCAGAGTGTTTGATAAGCTTTCAACGCTCAGTGAAAAAGACATGAATTAATTGAGGAACAGAAAGTGTGTTGATCGGCACTCATAGAAAGAAGTAGAAAGATAGAAGAACACACTAGACAACATAAACATCGAAAGCTACAGTTACCGTGCCGGGAATTGAATCTGTCACCTCCAGACGGCGTCTGCGCCTCGCCATGAATACAAGTGCACTAAGAACATGGTCAACCAGGCACCCCCAAAAAGACAGAAGGAAGTTTAATCGGCTGGCACCAATAGTAAAGGGGGCCCCATCATTGAATACCGGAAGTCGCCGTGGCCGAGCGGCTAGAAGCTCGCCGCGGATCGGAAGCTCGTGGGCTCGCTCCCTGGCGGAGCCGGACTTTGTTCAAAAATGACCTTGGCTCCTAGGTCGACCCAGCCTTGAGTGAGTACCAGGTGCATTACCAGAAAGTAAAGTCGGCTGGCGTGATGCTGACCACATCACCCATCTTGTGCCGATTGGTCTATAAAAATAAAGATCTAGCCCTATATGCCCTATACGCCTAAAGGCGAGGAAAAGGGTCCTTTTCTTTTACTTTTTAATAATTGGATACCTAAAGTCGGAGTTTCAAGTGCAGGGACGTCAATTTATTCATTCCTTTTCGATGCCAGTACTCTTTACCTGGTTAAACATAGAGGAGCTCAATGATTTGTGTATGTTTGTCTCTATCAGCAGATTATGAGAAGGAATGGGCTCGAGAACTTGGTAACAAAGGGCAAGGTTGATGAAAAGAGAGCAAAACGAAGGCAAAGAGATAAATACCTAGATAACTGGTCAGACAGAGGAGGAGAGACAATACAACTTTGAACTGGTCACTGATTCTGGTAATCGTGTGAGATGGCGATTGTCTCTGCCGTTACTCAGATTGAAACAATCGTATTTTATAGCTAAATTAAACATAAAAACAAGACTTTTTTTTAACCATAGCGAGATCATGCGTATGTTGTAGACCTATATATTGATAGACAAGTAGACACTAGAATGAATGTATTTTTGTTATATTTCGGCTATTCATTTGTTGATAAAGACTTTTGGTGAGAGGTATGCCTGTTTTTTTGAATGTCATATGAGTTCCTGTCTAATATTTTTCGGAGGTAATGAATGAATGAATGAATGAATGAATGAATGAATTAATGAATGAATTAATGAATGAATGAATGATTAACTATTGTCTCTTGCCTTTTTATTTTAATCAACGAAGTGTTTTTGTAATGCGTGTTATTATTTCTTTGTTTATATAACAGCAGTCTGGTATCTACCATGGTGAACTTTATCAGATCTTTTTTGCTGCTGATATTCTGCGCTGTCCTAGTTGCGGATGAACCGACTGAAAGTGAGTTTACATAACCGTATGATGACATCTTTATATATTTAACTACTACTGTACTAGTGTACAGATGCTATTATTTTTTCCAATCCGTCGTGGCGCTTGATATGACCAAAATATTTCAGCTTCCGAGACAAGATGCTGTTTATTAGCCAATCTTCCTTAATGTTCAGATCTTTCAAGATGTCAGTATTTCTCCTCTTCTTTGTCCAAGACATTCCGCTAATCTTTCTATAGAATTTCAGCTCAAAAGCCCCTATTCTCTTTCTTAGGGACTGAAAGATAGTCCACGACTCACATCCATATGTTACCACAAGAAAGATGCATGCTCTCAAAATTCGAATTTTGATCTCCGTTCTGGTGCTTAACTATAGACTGTTAATGCTTTTTAATCTTTGCATTACTATGGCCACCCTTCTTTTACTTTATGTCAAACAGTCTTAATTTCAATTTATTATAAAGCCTACATATTCAAAATGTGTAACATTTTCAATTTCTTCATCATTTATTATTATTTTTGGGTGACAGCCAGTTTCATATGTGGACATTACTTTCGTTTCCTTTATGTTCAAACACAGCATACACGTGCTTTAAATACATAAGGCAGCAGTAAGAAGTGCCAACAGAGAGGCTCCGACACAGGAAAAGCTTATCGTTGAAGGAATTAGCAGTTACAACAGATCAGTAGTTGCATACGCAATTAACTGTACAAGGCACCACAAGTTCTTTGGCAACAGGCTACTCGCCATTTTCTGACATGTGACCTCTGTGTTTGGAGAGTCATGTGTTTATGTCCCCAAAAGAGGAGCTAGCCTCTCCCAACCTGCTGATCCCCTCCCCCCCCTTACCCTTTTCCACCCCCTAAAAAAACCCACCCATTTTCCTTCCTTCTATTATAATCGCCAAACAATAATAACCACCTCATTCAGATAATTGTCTTCTTTTACTTGATAAAGGCTGTTGGCAATTCATGTTGTTATTTTCAACCAAGCTACGATATCTGGCCCTTGCAAATGCACGCATCCGGTTTCAGAAAATCACTAAATATTTTTTTTTTCGAAATGCTTGATATGGAAAAGATAATCCCACCCTCCCCCACCCCCTCCCCTTCCCTCCCGAAATGTCAGTGATCCAGTTTAGGATGTAATGTTTTCGACGACGTGTTCCTTAGACACACACAATGTTTTAATCCACAGGCGACCAGAAACGGATCATGGATTTCATATCAGTCTTAAGTGGCAGCTGGAGCAACAAGGACCAGGTAGCGACCAGTTCAGGAGGGCATGACCTTGTAGAAGGCTATGCTCGGCACGTGGAGATGCCTGCTCTAGCGGATGTAAGTTGAATATTTTTATTATTATTATTATTATTATTATTATTATTATTGTTATTATTATTATTATTATTATTATTATTATTATTATTATTATTATTATTATTATTATTATTATTATTATTATTATCATCATTATTATTATTATTATTATTATTATTATTATTATTATTATTATTATTATTATTAATATCATTATTGTTATTATTATTATTATTGTTGTTGTTGTTATTATTATTATTATTAATATTATTTCTAGTTTGTTATTTAGACTCGGTCGGCGTCTGTAGCTTAGGCGTTGCGAACTCTCTTGGTAACGCCGGGGTGCCGGGTTCGATGCCAAGTGCGGCCGTTTTGTCTTGTGTTGGTTTCGACAGTGATACCAAGAGCTGACCGTGTTCAGTAAGCAATGGCAAACTACTGAATGTAAATTGGGCCTAGGTTTGAGGTTCGAAGTTTGAACAACGAAACAGCATCATGACACATGGGTAGAAACCCATAAGTGCTCCGTTATTCTTCTAGCTTAAGTCTAAGTCTGAAGAAGCTCAGCCAGTGCACAGGCTCTGTAGCACCGGCGAGGATCCTGAAATGCTTTAGGTAAATTTTTAACTCCAAATTTTGCTCGCAGTTAGGCTATTCTTTTTCGATTTCTAACTGCCAAGGGATATTTACGTGAGTAACAATGCACACGGGCGTCCGATCTCACTACCCAGAGACCAGAGGAAATTACTAGAAGTCAAGTTCACGTGAACAAATTCCAGCCCTTACTGGGGATTGAACCCGGATCCTCTAGCACTCGAGGCGGACACTATGCCTCGAGACCACGCAGCTCCCAAAAATACTAGAAAGATAGAAGCAGTATAGTGGAGAAATGTACAAAGATTCGACAAACATGCCAGATAGTGCCGATGAATTTCAACAGAAAGAGCCCACGTCTCTAACAGAGGAAGTAAGAATAACAATAAAGAACCTGAAAAATGAGAAATCTTCTATGACGTCACGACATACCAGCAAAGTTAATTCAGGCTGGAGGAGAAGCCTGCGCTAATATATACCATGCACTGTGTGTGAAAATCTGGAACAGTGCTAACTGGCCCAAAGCGTGAAAGAGATCAGTTTATATTCCTCTTCCCGAAAAAATGAAATCTAAAACTATGTAACAATTATCGAACTATAGCTCTAATTAGTCATGCCAGAAAATCTTTTTGCATATCATCTTGAGGAGAGTCGACATTACATTGGAATATGAATTACAAGAAGCACAAGCAGCTTTTAGATGGGGCGAGGAAGAAGAGACCATATTTTCTATATGAGAATCATCCCATAGAAGTGTAGAAAATACAAGGTAGAAATTCATACTTGTTTCATAGACTACAGCAAGGCATTTGGCTGTGTGCAATACCAAAAACTGTAGCATATAATGAGAAGCATGGGATTTCGTAAACATCTGGTACACTTAATGGATCTCCATGAACAACAAGCAGCGGTCAGGGTAGCTGGTGAAACATCGGTGTTGTTTGAAGTGCAAAAAAGGAGTGAAACCGGGCTGCATTCTTTCTCCGTCCCTTTTCAACATCTATGATGAAAATGTAATGAGAAACCCAATTAGCGATAAGGCATGTGAGAGCTTAGATACACCCAAAAAATTGAGGTAATCCTATCCCAGAACTCAGATATGCAGATGACACAGTTCTCCTTTCTAATAGTATGTCAGGTTTAGAACAATTAATTTGGCCGAAAACAAAAACAAAAACCAGCGAAGAAGTGAATATAAACTTAAAAAAAAAAAAAAAAAAAAACCAGCAAAGAAGTGAATATAAACTTAAAAAAAAAAAAACCAGCGAAGAAGTGAATATAAACTTAAAAAAAAAAACCAGCGAAGAAGTGAATATAAACTTAAAAAAAAAAAACAGCGAAGAAGTGAATATAAACTTAAAAAAAAAAAAGCAGCGAAGAAGTGAATATAAACTTTAAAAAAAAAAAACCAGCGAAGAAGTTAATATAAACTTAAAAAAAAAAAAAAAAACCAGCGAAGAAGTGAATATAAACTTAAAAAAACAAAAAAAAAACCAGCGAAGAAGTGAATATAAACTTAAAAAAAAAAAAAACCAGCGAAGAAGTGAATATAAACTTAAAAAAAAAAAAAAAAAAGCGAAGAAGTGAATATAAACTTTAAAAAAAAAAAAGCGAAGAAGTGAATATAAGCTTAAAAAAAAAAAACAGCGAAGAAGTGAATATAAACTTTAAAAACAAAAAAAACCAGCGAAGAAGTGAATAGAAACTTAAAAAAAAAAGCGAAGAAGTGAATATAAACTAAAAAAAAAAAACAAAAAAACAGCGAAGAAGTGAATATAAACTTAAAAAAAAAACCAGCGAAGAAGTGAATATAAACTTTAAAACAAAATAAAAAAAAGCGAAGAAGTGAATATAAACTTAAAAAAAAAAAAAAAAAAAACCAGCGAAGAAGTGAATATAAACTTACAAAAAAAAAAAAAAACACCAGCGAAGAAGTGAATATAAACTTAAAAAAAAACCCAGCAAAGAAGTGAATATAAACTTAAAAAAAAAAAAAAAAAACCAGCGAAGAAGTGAACATAAACTTAAAAAAAAAAAAACCAGCGAAGAAGTGAATATAAACTTAAAAAAAAAAAAAAAAACGAAGAAGTGAATATAAACTTAAAAAAAAAAAACCAGCGAAGAAGTGAATATAAACTTAAAAAAACCCAGCGAAGAAGTGAAAATAAACTTAAAAAAAAAAAGCGAACAAGTGAATATAAACTTAAAAAAAAAAACGAAGAAGTTAATATAAACTTGAAAAAAAATAAAAAAAACCAGCGAAGAAGTGAATATAAACTTAAAAAAAACAAACCAAAGAAGTGAATATAAACTTAAAAAAAAAATAAAAAAAATCATGTCCTCAGTAAGTAAATACAGAACACCAACCATGTATCACAATCAAAAATGAAAAAAAAAAAATGAATGTCACAGTTTTTTAATACTTAGGCTCTTTAGTAAACAACAGTGGAGACTGCTCGAAAAAAAGTCAGAAAACACTTGCATTAGCAATGCAGAGATTAAACAGCATGAAAAGCTTATGGCAAAGCACCTGCAAATTAGTTAAAGTTAAAATCTTGAGATCATGCAATTTTCCTGTGACAACTTGCGGTTGTGAGTCTTAGACTCTCACTCACTGAAGAAAAAGATAGGAGCCTTTGAATTAATATGTTACAGAAACATTATCAGAATACCATGAATCAAGAAAAGGGAAAAATCGACATTCTACACGAGTTAAACATCAAGGAGAACTGGCGGATAAACAGGGTCTTGTCTTGAAAGTGAAAGTAATTTGGTCACATCAAACTTTATGGTGGCCTGGAAAGACTTGTGCCCAGAAAAACCAAAACATCCAAAACTTGATAGAGTTGGTTCTGTAACGTTTTGTAAAGGATGCACAACTAACCTAATTCAGAGTATAAATGCATACTTTACTATACATGTACATAGGCATACCGTCTTTCTTTCCTTTAAAATCTATCCTGAAGAGAAATGTATAAGGGAAGAGAGCAAGATATAGACATTGATATATGTGCTAAGACAATA